GCGGCCCAGAAATTGTTGGAGCTGCATTGCGAGCGGGCTCCGCGAGACTCTTCTTGACTGCTTGTTCATGAGCCAACATCCTTTCTTCGATGGGATATTTCATCATCTGTACCTTCTTCCAAGCCTTGTTGTACGCGTTGAAGGCCCTGATGGCCTCCGCGATGTCTTCCGCAGTGATGGTAATGCCATCGTCGTCTTCGTCTGAATAAAGAGTCCTAAGCTTTGTTAAGTAGCAGCCGTAGGATAATTAGATTCTTATCTGGAGGAGCTGTGGACGCTCTGTTGCCTTCGGATCGTTTGGCTATTGTCGCATTTTTTTTAATTCATTGAGGGAATGCAGCGTTGTCGCATTTTGCGCAGCGTCGAGACCGCTAAATCTCGTTGTTCAGGCACCAAAAGTCACCATATTATGGCACAGTGGATATTGTGACAGAAATGGGGTGGAATAAATGGAAAAATATGATTAACGATGTCAATTTGATGAAAGAGGTAGCATGGAGTGCTGCGCAGCTTTTCGTGAAAAATGTTGTTTTTTTTAATTCGTATTGTATTCAGCTATATAGCTATGAGTTATTTTTCTGATTTACAACAAAAATCTTTCGGCCTTCTATCGTAAGTCCTGGCCCTTGATCCCTTCTTTTAATTTCTACCTGTATGTTTCGTTCATTTGGGTGTGCGTGTGTGTTTGTTTATTGTACTACTTGAGTCGGTGACTATCTGGCACCTTGAGCTCCTTTCTGACCCAGGCCACACCTTGTACGGTACACCTTGCCTCTTTTATTACTTGTAAGATCATTGATATATTGCCCGTGATGAATAGCCATTCAGCTCAGTGTTTACCCATGGAATTCAGTCACCTTTTTCACGGAACCTTCTACCCAAAAAAAACAAAAATAAAGTTAGCAGTGGAAACTGAGCGCGCGGGAAAAAGTCTCAAAAAACCTGCAGCCCCAGCCAGGCGAAGCCTAGACACCAGGACCATCTGAGGTGCGCATATCTATCTGTATCTCCCTCCTTTGTAACAGTCTAGGCCGACTTGATTCAACCCGCCATCTCCGTATTGGGTGCTAGGTAGGCTTCGGAAACTCATCGGATGGCTTCTCCTCCATGATCAAGGGTTGGTGATGAGTAGGGCTCCGGCCCTACCATCTGATCTGATGATGGTTAGCTTCATGATAACTGTGATAGGGGAATGTGTTGAGAGATGAAGACGATACAGACGGTGAGAGCGATTGGGAATCCTCGTTGAAGTGAGGACTTTGTTACTCAATCTCGGCTCTGCAGACTCTATAGTGAGAGCTGGAGGTTCGTAGGGGACACCACTGACAGGTGTTGAGAAAAGTCCCCCATCCATTCTACATGACTTTAGCCCGCAAGTCAGAGTCTAGCTGAAAGCTTGTGTGGAATCACAGGTAGTTAAATAGCAAGATGAGCTGCTGGGCCACCATCTCACGGGCCAACTCGTATGTCACATTCTATCCAAAGCTGCGTGGGAGCAAGCTAATGCTACGAATCTTATTGTCCTATCCATACACACACATACATTGAGAATTGGTAGATTAGTTCAGAGGGCGCATGCAGACTTTACCAAGAGGAGACAGGGGCGAGAAAAATGACTTTTTGACTGGGCACCAGATGACGGACAGACTAGCTTTTGGGTTGAGCTAGTCAGCTTTGGCAATTTCTTTTCCCTTGCGCTCGTTGTAATAGATCACTCTTACAATGTGAGATTAAGGCAAGTAAATTTGCTTCCTAACTAGCACATTCGCATTCAATTTCCGGTAGGGTATCGACGATTAATGTGGTAATGCAGCGAGATTGCTTGCTTTTTTATCGAAATCCGTCTCCAGGTATTCGTACTATCGGCTGGACCCACAGCATCCCTCTCTCGTATAGGAACCAACACTTGGCTTGTCAAGACTGCCAACTTATCAACAAGATATCTTAAATTTGCAGTCGCGAGACTCACCAGACCAAGTAGTGTCAGTCATGAGGAGATCTATTCGATATTCTAATTTGATTCCTACAGCGCCCAACGAGAGAAGCCTCTTCATTCAGTGGCACTATGTCTTAGGGGTGTGGAGAAGCGTGTGGGACATTTTTTTTTTGCATCAGATTTTAATTGCCGTATGGGACATGAGACTAGCAATTCACGACCAAGCAAAACGTATACGTGATATGGCTAGATATACGCTGGCCATCACGTTCCGCGGTTTGCATTAGTAAAGACGCACCAAACCTGTTGCAGGGAGCAAAATAGCCGTGGCTACTAAGGAGACGTGGGAAGCTAGCGCCGGTACGGAATACCTATCCGGTGGACTCAAGCCCCGTGCCCAGACAGCAGCGGTAAGGCTGAGGCTGAGGCTGAGACTATTCATTATTAGCAGATGAATATTCAAATTTTACCCCACTCTCAATGCGGATAGCCATTCAAACCGAGCGAGTCAAGCTTCAGCTTGCAGCACACCTGCCGGTCATTAGCTGTCTCGTGTCCGCCATGTGTCAAGTTCGGAGGGCTTAGCAAGCGTTCAAGCGATCGAGTCCATCTCCGTCTCAGCCATGACTTGAATGATCTAGAGCCCAATTACCCGAGATCCCTTATTCTTGACGCTGAGACTCCATGTTATCTTCAGACTCGAGCACCACGCCCTCGGATTCCCACTATTCAGCCCTTTAGAACCCGGCAACTCCGAGCCTTGCACCTCATGGGCGTGTGTATTCTAGATGGAGTGCCCCCCCCTCCCGAACCATTGATACCCGGCTCTTGCAAGGTCTTTTTCCGCCGTATCCACATTGCCTCTAACCACATATTTATCTTTGCCTCACCTCATCCCTTGTCTTTCTCTTTACCCGCATTCACCGAAAGCTGAATCACGAGTAGGATTATGTTAGCCTTTAGGAACCTGGTGCTCGTGTACTGACTTGATCCGGGGTCCAGATGTTCAGAGGAAAAACTAATAAGCATTCTTGTTGTATACAAACCATTTCATAAGTCGAAGTCGTGTCTAATTCAAGGGTTTGTTCATTTGCAACGCGCAGCATCCTAGAATACATAAGTTAGCAAAATATAACTCACGGCACCGGCCATGCACGGAAGGTAGTTTAATGGTGGCCGACTTGGACGTATTAACGCTTCATAAGTCATCGGCACGGCTTAATAGTGATGTTTTTGTTCGTACATCAAGTATTAATTTCGTATGCAGCTATTAAGCTATGACACAATATTAGAGGTAGAGTACACAAATGATGACTCAATTTACAAGAGGAGCGCTCATGCCTCGGATTTCGCTTACTAGTACCACTGCGAAGTTATAGTGGCTTTTTCTTCACCACAAGTCAACCCTCATCCATGAATACCCACTCAGGGAAACGGCTCAAAAAGCCTGAGTTATCCAGAAATGCCTCTTTTATCCATTGACTTATCCCCGCGTAAAATGCGGTCTGAGGCGTATCCTTTCCAAGTGGAGTAGGTGCCCAGGCTACTCGAACCATACCAGAGAACACCACCAGGAGGCGGACCACGGCACTTTCCCTCGTTAGCTTATTTTTACAGTGTCAGCTGCACTCATAATAGTGATCATGCGTCTATTAAGGCCTGTAATTTCTCTACATCAAGTCCTGTATGGCAATAGCTTAAGGCAGGACTGTGGGATAACAATTCTCTGCACGACCTCAAATCTTGTGGCCTGCAGTCTACACAATCAAGCGTATGCAAAGGTATATAGTTAGATACCTATGCGCCGTCTATTTTAGTACTAAGAGCAACCTCGGTATATGTCCTGTCGATGTGGTGAGCTACACGTGAATTAAAAGCCATAACCAGCACTATTGAGTCCCAGAGGCCTAGTCTGGTGACAAAGGGGCGTGCCGATATCCGAAAGCCTTCGTATTTGGTGTATCTGACAAGCCGTTACATCCGAGCTAGTTAGGGATGAAACCGGTTCAGATATCATGTTAGAGGACTGACACGAATGGCTTGGATGAGATCTCACCAGTCAGGTAATTTCACAAGGGAAGATTGAAGGTGTTGATTGGAAGAGCAAGACTAACTCGATCTGTGTGTTCACTATCACGGCTTTGTAACAATGAACTTGTCGTACTGCTACTGCTTTCCTAGTTGTGGTGTCGCATTAATTCCGGCAAGAATAAGCGTAAAACACGTGCTGCTGGACAGCTAGCTTGGCAAGATAAATGCGCGAGTCGACTAAGCAATTAGTGGTGGGTAGATTTTTTTGCCCCACTTCGAGCATAATAAAATTAATTCTACGATTGGTTGAGAGGGTGAGGGCACAAATGTAGGGAAAGGCGACAGGGTAGTGACACTAGAAATCAAGGCAGTGATTGGTCCTGCCCATAACAGAAAAGGGTGTGCTCGTATTCAAATCTGGTAGACCACAATAGCCTCTGCTTTTAGCGTCAACTAGCGCATAGCTTTAGTCAGCTTTACTTAAAGCCAACATTATTTGCATCACCTCGTCTCCATCGAACACACTCATCACCCACAACCATTCACTTTCAATCATTATTCGCTTAGCTATTCTACAACCTCACTTAAATCACCGAAATCAAACGAGATTGATGAAGGTATTGTCTTTGGTTCTTACGGTCAAAACAGATAAATACAGAATTGGGGGAGGAGAATTGTGCCAGGAGAAAGAAACAGGAGCCGTGGTGGATAATTGAATTGTCTAGGAGAGGGCTAACAAACGCTGAAATTCCCACTTCGCAGTTTTACACTGCATTCTTGTACATCATCTCATTCTCTCAATTCTTGTCACAGGAATATCTCAGTGATTGCAATCAGATTGATTTTATCTTGATCCCCTCAAAGCAAAAGAAGAAGACATATAAAATTTTAAGTTGCGAAACGCATTCTATACCTCCCATCCCATTCCTTGCACTATTTAACCACAGGCCTCTAATTAATCTTATTGGAGCAAGGTATCCAACTTAACGCAGTTGATTAGCCGTCAGCCCATTCAGAGAAATCGTCATACAATATGTCGTCGTCAGTGTTTTACAAGTTCAAGTCCCAAAAGGAGCCTTCTAGAGTTGAGTTTGATGGAACTGGTATCTCAGTATTCGAGCTTAAGCGTGATATAATCATCAAAAGTGGTCTTGGGGATGGAGCTGACTTTGACCTCGCAATATTTAATGATGATGAGACAGAAGGTAGAGACCGCCCTCACAGACACAGTCAAGGCAAATACTAATCGGCTATCAGAGTACGATGATGATACGACTGTTATCCCAAGGTCCACAACCGTAATCGCTAGGAGACTGCCTGCCTCCAAGAAGGGGGCCGGCCGAGCCCAGCGGTACATGACCGGTAAAATGCCTATGAATTCTAAAAATTCAACTCGTAAAGATCAGGCAAAAGCCACCAAGGCAAACTCTGCTGTGAACATGGCTGTGAACTCAAGTATGACGGAAGACCAGCGTCTAGCAGCCATGTTCGACGCTTCGAGCCAACAGTGGTCAGAACAACTAGAAGAAATGGCAAAGTAAGTACCTGAGTCAACTTCACCTACTTACAAACTAGCTAATCGATATAGACAAACAAAAGTACATCATATGGGGGGCAAAAAAGTCTCTGAAGGTGAACCACCGCCAGGATATGTATGCTATCGATGTGGGGAGAAAGGACATTGGATAAAGGAGTGTCCTACGAACGATGATCCTAACTTTGAGAATAAACCCCGTATCAAGCGTACAACGGGTATTCCCAGATCGTTTCTGAGGGCGGTAGATAAGCCGACTGTGAGCCCTGGTGATGGAAATGATGTTAAACAACCGTCTGGAGTAATGATTAATGCAGAGGGTCAATTTGTGATTGCAGAGCCAGATAAAAAATCATGGGAACAATTTCAAGCAAAAACTAAGTCTTCTGCTGCTGCTGAAAAGGCTGCTGCTGTGGGGGATAAAGAGCTACAAGATAGAGGTCTGGAATGCTCAGTCGACAGGAGAATATTCTTAGACCCAATGAAGACGCCGTGTTGTGAGAAGACGTACTGCAATGATTGCATCACTAACTCGCTAATTGAGAGCGACTTCACCTGTCCCGGCTGCCAGGCTGAAGGTGTATTACTAGATGACCTAAAGCCTGATGAGGTAACTTCATTAAACATCAAATGCTATTTAGAAGAAAAAACTGCTGCTGCAAAAGAAGCGAGAGAAAAAGCTGCAAGTCCAATTGCTAAAAATTCACCATCGATTAGCGAGAAGGAAAATCCAAAGCCCAAATCGCCTTCACCGCAATCGCCTCCTCTTCCTAGTGCGAGCGAAGGTGTCTCATCGCCACTTCATTACTGCAACGACGTCAAGCCCAGTTCATCCGCTGGAAGTTCTGTAGCCACTGAAACTAGTAATGCTAGGAAACGACCAGCTGAGCAACTCCTGGAGAACCCGAAGATTCCGAAAGGTCCTAAAGCCATGCAGCAACAACAACAGCAGCAGCAGATACAGACGGGCATGGCTGGATTTGCCGGCATGCCTTTTAATATGTCCCCATTTTACGGCATGCCTAATATGATGAATGGGTTTGGTGCACTGAATGGCATGTCTATGATGCCCGTTGTAAATCCTATGATTATGAATTCATATGGTAGTTTCCCAAATATGTACTCATGTCTCAACGGCTTCAATGCCATGAATGGCAATCTAAACATGATGAACGTAGGAAATATGGGTATGGATGGCCTTGTGCATGTAGCCAACGACGTGTCTCATGGGTTTCCTAATCAGCAAAAGACAATCTTCTCGGAGCCGCTACCTAACGAGGAAGATAGTGCTTACTTTCGTCAGCCCGTCAATCCACACCGACATCAGGGGCGACAGCGACGGGCCCGACCGCAAGATTACCGAGAGCTCTGATTAACCTGCTGCAGTTAGCTCGGCGTAAAACATAAGCAACAAGCATCTGGAATTCGATCGACCCGATCAAAGGAGTGTATCAGTCGAAAGGGAAGCGCTACTAAAATTCTCAAACATTTGTATATTTTTATTCACGGGATAGGTATTGCACGGCGTTAAGGAATGCGGGGAATGGGAAGGACGGCAAGAATTCCTATTAGAGGTAACAAACAGGGAGGTGTAAATGAGATATAAAGCTGGCTATACTTGAATCTTGTTTTATCGATTCGACATTGAGCAAGGTATAGTTAACCTTACGGGCTACTTGCCGTTGAAGTCGAGAAGATTCAGATGCTGTAGATGAGTGAATGCCATGATAAAAAAATATTTTACCTGAAATCACGTGAAACTCGGTATGTTCAATAAGAGTCAGATACCCTTTCTAGCCTGTGGGCCTGAATGGTTCGGACCATAGTATCTCCGTGTAAAGTTCAGACTAACGGTTGCCCATACCACCTGTGCGCGACATATTTAAGCCCGACATGTAGTAGCTTTATAGACAGAAGAAATACCGCATAGATCACAAACCTTTCATAAAGATGATCATGAACATTAAGGGCACAGTGATGTCAATTTTCAAGACACAAAAGCCAGTATCCATATTTGCAGGCCTCTTTGATATCACATGATTTAGAGTTTGCTTGGGCACTAGGCTGAATTCTGTGCGTAAGATATGAGAGCTGAAGCTGACGAATTTGCAGCCCCTGATTAATTCACGGGAATACCAGGCTGCATCGTTTCATCATCCCCATTCTCGGGACCCCTTTCACCAAGATATCCCACTACTGTCTCAGAGAGGTAGAAAGAAGGGCTTAACTAATCAAAAATATATAAGTAGTGGCAACAACTCTTGCGATAAGCAGTTGTCACAAGTAGTCAAGTTGTTGAAAGTATGGGGTAGAGAGATAAGTCAGGTGATGTTTAATGACAGTTATTGATGAAGGGGGTTTTTTTTTTTTATTATATTAAAGTCCTAAGCTAAAGCTCTAGGTCCACTACAGGTACAAGACTGGTGGAGCCGGCGGGGATCACTGCTTACAGGCCCAACTCATTCCAACCGCTGGACTTGCTACAGAAATAGTAGGAAGTAAATTACGACGCGGACACCACCTACTCCAACTCCTAGATCAAAAATCAATCCTTTTCCCTAAATCCAAATAGCTACAATCTTTCCTCAGAGAAACGACACTTCTCGCCTCGTTCCCTTTCTTGTCATGTGTTGTGGCAATGACTAGTTAATCTGATCCCCGCTGAGAGCAGTGGATGAGTGAGCAGGTCGTCTATCAAAACAGCCGGTTTCCTGCGCAAATATTTTGAAGCTTTCGTGGCACTTGGGCCCGAGAAGCTTTTTGACAAAGTCAGCGTGGGACATTGACTTTCTGAGCCTACGCGTGTGTTGTGCGTGGCGGGATGAAGGGTTTGTTTGCTGAGTTTCCTATTATTTCTGTGTTGGGATACACTTTGTCAATCCTACTAGGCTCGATAATTAGTAGTCCCGACTGACTGGTGTTTGGCGAATGGAGATTGCGTATACCCTGTGCTAGCGTTGTTTACTGCTGTTAATAGGAGATCCCACACGGGCTATCTATTGGGATTAAAAGGAGTCTGGTACTTGTGTTTAGAAGAGTAGTCAAATTGACATCCTTTTATCCTTCATTATTGCATAAGCTTCCCTCTACCAATAAGCCCACGAACTAAGTAGTGGGTTATATATTTCAATACAAGTGCTAATTGGGCCTCCGAGAGGCGGTAGGCTCATTAAAAAACTTTCCGACCGAGCCAGAGGCATCGGAGAAAGTTGCCATAAAAGTAGACTTCCTGTCAGAGTTACGACCAATTCTCAGGCCGGTAAGACGACGAGCCGCCATTAACGGCATCGAAATATCACTTCTCTCTTTGAGAACCACATAAATTCGACAATTCTTTGGCTCAATGAGGGTCTACATATACGCCGTCATTGCGCAGCATAATGCAACAAGCCCGGTCAGCATGTTCTTCGTCTTCCCTTTTCGCCCGGCGAATCCTCTCTTGAGAGCTACCAATGCTAGGAGCAGAAATATACCCATTTGTTAGAATTTAGAATAATTGGGGCTATCAAGTAGGCCATGTTGTTGGTACACACATTACTACAATTCTGTACTTAATCTCACTTCGGAAGTCACTTGAATCAATGCGCTCTACAACCTCAATGACTGAGGGGTCATCATTCTCTTAATAGGTAATGAGCCCGGATTATCGCTTGCGCAATCACGTTGTATCGCCCGGAGTTTGATACCATCTCGTTGTGGGCAAGTAGAAGGGCATATGTCCTACTTGCGCCAAATTAATCCAACTTGTTAAAGATTTAATCTGTCCATAACTCTGAGCTTGATGATGGCCAGCAAGACGAAGAATATCATGACCTATCATTTAAGATAAAAGGGCGAGAAAAGCATTAATTAGAAGATAGGGCCAATATAGTAAGGGGTGATTATCCCAGAGTAGGTGTGGGCATAATGAATATTGTCGAACGCATCCTCGTATTAAAGAGGAGTCAAGTGCGCGATTTATAGATATACACGTATCCTATCCCTGTCACTAAATACCAAACCCCGCACTGCCATAAACACCATCAATCTCTGCTATCCATCGCAATCCTGAGTATCAATATGAGTTACTGCTATACGGTATGTTTCTACGGATCCACATCAAGATAGAAATGTTAACAGTATCGATGCCACCTGGGCCACAAGATCACTCGTGACTGTTCCTGTGCTCCAGATTTCTGGAATTGTAGGTCAGTAATGCACTCTATCGCGGGATTTAAAGCCATCAAAAAGTGTCGAAACTGTGGTGGCTCACAACTTTCGGATAGTCGAGACTACTTGGCTCGAGCTACCCGGGATGGACTGGCCCAGTAACTAAAGAGAGATTTGTTATCTGTCGGAATATTTCCTATGGATTCTTTGTTTGAGGTAACTCAATAACAATTGTTTCATTCATTCGTAACTATCTTCATTTGTGACGGAGCGCCAGGGCCTTAATGACCTTGAACACTCGTCACATGATATATGCTTACACAGCTATTACTAATTATTACCCATTTGTCATTACATCTTCATAATCATTATTGCCACCCAAACTCCAGCATCCTTGTTTAATGCACATCCAAATAAAACTTGTGTCCTACTATTCGACATTATCATTAGATAAAACAGTCAATGATAGTTTGCTGCAGTAGCTTGATCAAAGGCTGCTGCGAGGAATTCCGAGCCAGGAAGTCAACCTATCTCCAGCTCTCAGCGAAGACGGTGCAAGTATGCCATGCGGAAGGTGTGTCGAAGAAGGTAATGCGCGAGAAACGCTGTACCTGGATTTAATGTGAGGGGATCTTCTATTATTCGAATCTTAGTTTTCAGATTTTAATCTTCTGAAATTTTGGCGGCGATTCACGCGCTTGAAATGAGTTGGATCCGTAAACAGTGATCTCCGCGAGCTCTACTAGTCCTGCCTTCATAGTGGGCTTAGAGTTCTTTGCTTAGGACTTTAAAGATACAAAAAAAACATGGAGGTCATAAAACTCCACAAATGTGCCAGTAGAGACGAACATTCCACCATTTGGCGGTGCCGGTGTATAGGCTCAGTAGGCTATATGTAACCGTGATAGCCCTGAAAATTTGAAATTACAACTAAGGCAGTACTCTAACAGTTCAAACTAGAATAGTGTAAGACTGCTTCACCATCTGTCGCCGATAGTGGTTCTTCAGGCGTCTATCGGCACTTGGTGTCTATCCCGTTCCTAGTGGCCATGGCAATGTGCACAGACTTCATGCGCGTATTGCTTTGAATAGTCTCATTAAACATCATAGAGCGATGTATGTTTATTGTACTACTTGAGTCAAAGACTATCTAGCACAATGAGCTCCTCTCTGACCCAGGCCAAACCTCGTACTGTGCTCCTATCCTCTTTTGTTACTTGAAAGATTATTGATATATTGCCCGTGATAGATAGCTATTCAACTCAGTGTTTACCCTAGGAATTCAGCCACCTTTTCTACCAAACCTTCTACCCCAAAAAATCAAAATTTTAACGTCTTATACGGTATCTATTTAAGTAATCATGTAGATGACAAGCCGCTTTGGTCAGGAAAAAAGCTTTTAACAAATCCCATTGTCCTGCCACTCTGAACCGACCCAGCTTCATGGTGAGGATGTTCCTTTCAATTATTATTTGATAAAATTTCCGCGGATTTCATTAATTCCCACTTCGATCAGACTAAACCTGTGAGAAATTGAATAGAGAAGGCACTTCCTCACTCGGTGTTGGCCGTCGAAGTGTTCGAAGAGTAGGCCCCAGAGGTGCTGCTTTCGCTGGGATGGTTGGTGCCGTTGTGCCTTCGACTGCCTTCCGCGGTCGTCCCGGTCCTCTTTTGGATCCTTCGGCCTTCTTGCTGCTGACCAAATTAAATCTCGGATCATCAGTTGTCCGATCTGATTGTTTGGGTTCCGCTGTTAGTTTCTCATTCCATATTTCAGCCGTTCTCGATGCAAGCTCCATCCGAGCCTTCCCCACACTTCTTTTGTAGACCTAGCAGGTCCGACACGCTGATTTCAGACACGGATAGTGTTCCTTGCCGCAGTTAGCACAAGAAACCCATCCTCTCAGGTAGTCCCAAGTTTAGTGTGCGCCAGTGCACTTAACGCACCTGGCTGCCTTTCCACACGACGCCTGCATGTATCTCCACCGGCTGCAGTTGAAGCATTGCTTTGGTTGGGCCCATAGTGACTAGACATGCGCGGCGAGCAGCATGGCATTAATCACCAGGCCATTTCTACCCACTCTCGTTTGCATTGCCTCAGATGGGAAGCTAACTACAATTGATCTACGAGTGCGACCATTTTTCTTTGATGACTGGTGTTCTTTTTCGGTATGTAACCATCGTATTCTACTGGTTAAGAGGCTGAGCATCCGAGCCCCAGTCGCCGTCTCAATCTCTCTAATGATCGCGTAGTTGTAGGCATCTCTGCTGCCCTCAGTTCTTGTCCACAGTGAGACTCCAAAAGCCACCGCGAGAAAGTCTTGCCGCAAAATTTGAAAGTCGGCTGGTTATTGCATTTTTAGCGCAGCGTCCCTGGGACGCCGACTAGACGAACACCTCGGTGGCGTTGCTTCGCATCTAGCGAATTGCAAACGCTCTTTCCACATGTTGTTTGGCCTTTGAAAGTAGCTCCTGAGGCTGCAGGCTTTTTGCTACGTCGATTCCTTATGACTGCCGCCTTCGTCATTTGTGGAGCTACGACCGACGTGTAGATTCTTGGTGGCTGTTTCACTGAAGATACTCCTGGAGCAGTATTACTGACGGGATCCGTAAGGAAAGATACTGGATAACGGAGGCATATCTGGATAACTCAGGGGTTCTCAGTCGTCCCCTGGGTGGGTATTCACGGATGAGGGTTGACTTGGGGTGAAGAAAAAGCCACCATAACTTCGCAGTGGTACTTGCAAATGAAATCCGAGGCATGAGTGCTCTTCTTGTAAATTAAGTCATCTATTATACACTTCTCTGATAATGTGTCATAGCTAGATAGCTGCATACGCAATTAAAATCTGATGCAAAAAAAACCAAGGTATTAATCAGGCGAAGAGGGGGTTGTGGTAACCCAGGACAAGGACGAAATCCACACAGGCAACAACAATGTGAGTGCACTGCCAGAAGGTCAGACTTTAGTGACGTAGAATCTAGTTGAACCGCGAAGTTGGTTATTACTAAAAGTTTTCGTATGAAAGCTAGGAAGTTTGACAGACTCCTGCATGGGCCCAGAGTGCGCAACAAGAAAAAGATAGATGCACTATACAGTGTGCCGACTTGCGAACCGGATTCAAAATGACAATCCTGCGCAAGCCATATTCAGGTCGATCTGGGATTCGAACCCGGGTCCCCGGAAATTTGTGCTCAGAATCCGATGTGATAACCAACTACACTAATCAACCTAGGTATCATGAACCTAGTAATAAAATTTATATAAATAATATCATGGGATTGGAGGCGCACCAATTGACCAGTAGTAGAATGCTAGAGTATGTAACATGATATCTACCGGCACATATCTCACTAAAACAAAGACGGCAACAATATATCGGGCTACCCAATAACCTATCTATCCAACAGACAATTTCAACTGCATGCCGAAAAATCGCACTTTTTTATGTAGAAAAATTAAAAAAACGTGATCAAAAAAGGAAAGATGATATAGTGGAATGGACCTTATCTGCAGCAACATTGAGTCGAAAACTGGACAGAAAGTAGCCGGAAAGAACGTCGCGTTCAAGGAATGACCAGAACCCTGGACGATCCAGAAGAAGGAGCGCCACTTGCGTACCCGAACGCAAGCCAGTCCGGATAAGTGGAAAGTTGCAAATCTATATTACGACGAGAAAACAGGTAGACTTTTGATGCACTATAGAGAGTCACCTATCTAAATCCACCAAGACCTTAGCCGGACCCAGAAAAGCATAGCCACACAAGAAGCACGCACATTGGGCCAAATGCTTACTTACACCGAATGAAGGTACCAGGAGTAGGAAACCCATGCTGCCAATGTGGATATCCATCCTAAAATCCAAAGCACATGGTAATGTCTTGTCCAAGATAGGCAAAAGGAAGAGGAGAGCTGCTACGAAAATGGACAACCCAATCCTTCGAAGCTGTGGTAAAAAACGTCGAAGATATGACTGGGATTTCACAGTGTATTCAAAAGGAAGCATGGATAGAGTAGTTTTGCATGGCCGGAGAAACAGAGGCGCTTATCAGGCGAAGAGAAGAAAATGGTAACCCAAGACGAAGACGGAATCCACACTGGCAACAACAGTGTGAGGGCACTTCCTAGAGGTAAAACTCTGATGGCGCAGAATCCAATTAGACAGCTAAGGGGGTTTTACTGCTAGGTTTCCTCATGTAAATTTTAGAGTCTGTAGACCCCTGCATGAGCCCATAGGGCGCCAATTTGGGCCAAATGAAATCAATTTCAAATTGTTTTCTGATTTTGCCACCTCGTCGTTATCAAGGTGAATCATGTGTTCTAAGCTCCACTGGATCACCAATTAAATACAGGTCCAACTGCTAGCTTCTGACTAGCTGTTATAGGCGCACCTCTCGCGCTTGAGACGAGAGAGCTAACGAATAGTCGTGCCTGACTCGGCAACCGAATCTCACGGGTTGGTAGTTTGCAACAGGAGATCTTGTATCAAGCTTTTTGCTAAAGGCGGCACCTCAAGCTGGAGAAGTAATACAACGCGCACGCCAGATACTGATCATGTAGCGTAGCCATCCACCTCACGCATATTTAAAAAAGGGCTAAATCCCTCCACATTTGCCTATTTATCATTCGCTACCTAGAGACCTTCGATGTCCCAATGTGCTTACACGCTCGCCATCGTTTGTCGAGTCGGTTGCGGCGTAATTTTTGTAGCTACGAAGCGGGCTTGACGAGCCCGATAGACGCACATCTCCATCGAAGAGATCTCATGTGCGTTGATCTCACCACCCTCACACATGTTCGGAGAAATAAATCCCATCGTTTAGCCATCGAGGAGCTGCTTCAATTGCGAGGGTGATGCGTTCTATTGTCAAGGTGTTGGTAGTTCACCCGAAGCTGTAGTCTTGGCGTCTTCAGACCTCTACCAACATATCTATCTTCCCTCTAGTCGTTGAGTTGCATGAGAGAAACCATCTCCCATACCAAGGTTTGAGCTTTTTATAGTACGACAGATCTTCTCCTCACAGGTATATGTAGCTTTGTGATTTAATAGTTGGAGATGGCCGGTGGTTGATGAGGAAGCTCCCGTTTGCAATCGGAACAACTCCTGTATCGGTCGTTGGGGGCTTATGAGAATGGTATGATCGATTTGGATGAAGAGTCTTCGATAAAGATATAGCTATGTTTGCCTTGGACTTTGATTCGTATGCCATTCTTGGCTATTTCAGATTTGGTATGTAAATTGAATCTTTATAACGCCACCGCCAGAAATCGAAGTAATTGATCTCATCACTAAATTGGAGTAGATTATTTTTCATTCTTCACTACATCACTCTGGAATTTACTGGACAACTGACATTATCACTGGAAATAACAGTTTGACAGCCGGCAAAGACGAATTATTCACCTTCCAGTGGTGCCAGTGTAATCGCTCAGTATGCTCTGCATATTTGGGATAGCCAAGAAGAATCGCATCCGAATCGAAGTCGAAAGCAACCTCAAACACATCTCCATTTGACGAATTCCCGACAGTGCCTCTCTCATCGTTATCATCTGAGTCCTCAACCCATCTCTAACCATGCATTATCTCGCCTCAACGACCAATAAAGAAGTTGCTCCAATTGCATACAGGAGCTTGCCCCATTAATCTCCAGCCATCTCTCACTACATATTTACGACGCTATTTATACCCGCAAGGAGGAAATCAAGTCGACAAATACAAAGCCTGGGTCATGGCTTATGGAGGACTGTTGCTCTAATGGGACAAACAACTTGAGGAAGAACAGGCGCCTGAGATGTGGAGCGAGAGGGGGAACAGGTCTCTGAAGAGGATATTGGGACGGACACCTTCGAGGGGTTTTCAACTCTGAATTTTTTGTGGGCGCCAAGACTTAGATTTCGGCTAATTAGCCAGGAGGGCTTCTGTTGTCGATGAGTCAATGACACTCCCTAGCGCCCTGGACGGCACAAAAGAAGTTAGGCTAAGCTACTATATAGCAATCAAGCTCTGTCAAGACTTTTCTGACATTTCGGTACGACCTTCAGGAAGGAGTTGGAAGGAGGCTAGAAAGGCAGAGTGTGAATTTCCCGAGGTACCCACAAGTCTTTAGCGCCTAGCTGGCTGGCCTCTACGAACGCTTTAGAAGGATCACTATGTCTTTGGATTTAGTCCTAATGTCAGTATTAGGAGAGCTCCGCACCCAGTGATTTTTGCGATTTTTCCCGGCTGCCATACACCCGCAAATGGCCATCGTTTCGTTGGCTGGAGAGGGGAGATGATGAAGGGCAAAGGGCTCCTCTAAGTGTATGATCGAATGAGGACTTGTTAAGAGTGGTACTGTTTGAGGGAGCTGTATAGGAGGCATAAAAGGGGATATACTACTGGTGTAGGTATCCTTGGCCTGTAGGCAGAGAGGACCTTCATGTCCTACATAGTCATAGACTCAGACAAGACAATAAAATGAATTAATAATAATAACAGTTTGCCAGTCTGAGACCAATTCTATTTATAATTCCGTACATAAATTGTAAACCCCTGCTCAGGTACAAATCATGACATCACTCCTAGAGTTAATAATATCCCGAGCCGTTGTGCGGTACTCGCCTGCCACTAACGATAAGTCAAACGAGAGGCCAAAACTTCGTGTACCGCCTTCATCCGTTCGTCCTCTGGGTATCCTAAATAAACTCCTCTCGCTTGAAAAGAATCAAAGCACTCCGGATCTATAGGGGATCAAATCAACCAAATCTTGACATCCACGTGACATATGAGTCACCAATTCATACCTATCCATCCCGATTCACCATCTATGTTCACCCAGCCTCGCTGATCGATTGCTTTCTCCCAGCCCATCATGATACCTAGCAGCCGGCAACTCATACAAGAGACAGTACAGATAATTTTATCACTCGCTTTCCCGAGCACAGCTGAATCCATTAAATAAGTGCGGGCCACTAACTCACGTAACTTTAGTGATTCAGCTGAAACCAAATGCTGGACCTCATGTACCTCTGTTTCTTCTCTGGGAAGACGGCTCAGGCGTTTTCCCAAGTTCCAGAACATACTGGCAAAGAACCCACCTTCCCAACCCACACTAGCGCCAACAAATTTGTGAATAGCCGGTTGTTGGGAGGCAGTCTTTGATGCTGGTCGAGACGCAAGGTTAACTTTCTCCTGTGCTCGGAAGGCCTGCTCGAATTCTTCTGAAAGATAGACATCGGGATCGTCGGAAGCCAAAATAATGATAGATTTATTCAACGCAGTATCGCTAGATTCGATATCAATGCTTTGGCGATGAAAAATACTTCGGGCCGAGTCTTCTGCCTTATCGACATAACGGTACAAAGGTATATAGCTGTCCTTATATGGAGATTCCAGGGGCCTTCGATCTCCATGGCGTACGTGGATCCCAATTACAGTGGCATTTAGGTTCTCAGGACCCAGAATGGCTATATCCTCTTTAAAGAACTTAACACGATCATCTACATAGGCCTGGTCTTGTGTAGTTAAATGGAAGAGGGCTTCATACCCGATACGAGCAAGGGAAAAGATGCGCCTTTGAAGATGCAGACTATCCTTTTGCCTTAACCCTTCGAGGTCAGGTGAAAAAGCTTCAAATGTGTAAGTTGCTGTTGCAGCCGACAAGACTAGATGGCGCGTATGCGCGGGATAGGGAAGTATTTCATAATACGGTGGCAGTTTGCACGGTGGTTTCGGAGGCGGCTGAAACATCTGCGTATATCGTCCGTATGCCCTATTCTCGTAAATATGTCATTTGATAAACAGCCCTTCTTGATCTCACCCACCATCTTGAGTCATCCACAAAAAAGTCTCTGCCCTCTTCTCGTGCCAAGCCATAGGCTGTCCACAACATCATGAGAGTACTACCTAGTCCAGCATCGGAAGACTCTAACAGATAGGTCATAGTCTTATTACAAACGGGTAGCCTAGTAAGCTCATCTACCCCTTCTCTGAGAGGAAATTCATCAGATGGCTTTAATTTTTTTGGAGAATCTGGAAAAATTCCAAGTTCCATGACTTCTCGCACATCTATAAAGTTAGGATCAATATTTCCACTTTTTGTAGGAATGATAGACGGCAGGTATAGATGACCATGCAGATTAGCCACATCCTCAGCCGTCTGTATACTCTGATTGCAGATTTCGGCGTATTGTCGCGGTGCAAGTGGAAAGGCTTCACCTGGTTTTATTGATATGGTCCATTTTAGCTGACCGTGTATATTCAAGATAACTGGCGATGGAAAGTCAGGTCGATATGCACCTCTGACCGCTTCATCTTTGCTTCCCCTCAATGCAGCCCAGCCTGTAACTGTTGTGAAATGCTTCGCTTCATGCAGGCTATGATACGTGATGATGAATATGCTGATCAGCCATGCTGCTACTTTCAATTGTCTCCTGTATTTACTCGTTAAAATCTCCTTACTACGAGGTCGTACGAGTGACGGGAGGACTGGGGAGAGCGGCAACGACACTATGTTAGAGACACAGAATCGAGAATTGCAAGGCGTACTTGGCGACCGGAGCTGTTGATCGTGATCATGGTAATCAGAATCTTCTCTTTTTTGACTCATGGGTAATTTCCGCGCTGCCAACACCATAGAATTACCCAACGTCTGGATCAAATTGAGCGTTGGTGCCATGAAGACTGAATCTGTGAGGTGAGAGAGAAATTATTCATGTTAATGGTTCAAGTCTTGAGCTTGGAAAGATGGAATGAGATAGCTTGTTGCACGACAAGCATTGAAGACACACCATAAACTCGACGCAAAAGTCAAATTCATCATCGCCAGTGAGGGTATGTTAGAGAATAATTTAGACGGAAAGGTTATCCCCAGTATGGCCTGATCTACACCACTTGAGGCTCGGGTACGATAAATTATTTTGACCATGCAAACATGGCGACTTTCCAAACGTCGAGAGAAATTGCAATAGGGCTAGCCTCAGACCCGTCGCGGACATGAGGGATCATCGTTGGACTGTCCTAGCTCTCATGATGTAAGTGCCGTGACGATGATGTCAGTCCGGCCGTCAAGGAAAACATCGATATGCAGGGGTCCTTTTAATATCAAACTTCCTGCTACTGTTTCATTTGCCCACGCTCGCCCCTCTAGAGCTCTCATCTTGCGATCAGGTCATCTTATTTTTTAAATTTTGGCCCCGCAATCAAATCCGAAGGCATACTGTGCACAATTCTAGCATACTTGGTAGGAATACCGCGTCGTGTGTACATCAGCCCAATGCAAGCCTCGCAGGCAAGTCATACCACTAGAAGCTAACTGGCAGGTCAGGTTTTTGTGGTCACGTGACCACAAAAGATCAAATTCAGTGAAATTTGGCGACACGGACACAAGGCTGGATGGCGCTGTGGTTTGCCAATCAGACTGTTCAACTCTCTCAATCGCGACTCGTGCTAGTCTGTTCTATTTGGCAAGGCTTATCGCCACGCCCTGTCTCTCTGGCGGAGATAAATGACACTAAATCATTCGGGGACCCAAAAGATGTTGAGTTGTCCCTTCGACGGATACACGCGGCAGAAAAAGGAGGTTATGAGCTTGCAGACAAACATTGGCATTGGTGGCTGTTAAATTAAATAACTGTAGGTCAAACATAATTAGTCTTGCATCAGAACATAATGGAGTTGTGGTTGTGGTTGTGATTATTGTTTACTTAAGAGCATAATGGGTTAGGCGTTTGGAGATCTTTTATACCCTGTATTAGTAGTTTCATATTAGCGTGTAGTAAGAATTGGGTCGTAGCATTAGGAGAGAGCGCTGAGAAGTAGTCGCAATATACGTTCCGCATTGTTAACCCAATACTTAATCAAATTTACTTTCAGTAGTCCTATTTCAGTTGTCTAAAAGAATCATATTCTAATGGTGGCAATAATAATTATACGCTACGTGGAATGGCCATTAATCCCTAACTTACCCTCGGTATGTGGCAGTCAGCAGGGCAGTCGATCTCTGCCCGCCTCCCACAGGATGGTTCGCAGCCGGCCAGTTCTCTACAAACACTAATCATCGATTGTGCATGAATTTAAGTGTCAAGCCGAGGTGATCCGGGCTGGCTGCGTCGGCGGAGAATGTAAATATCGGACGGCCACCTGGGAAGTGCCATCAGATCTGTTAGATTTGCGCCATACTCTCTCAAAGGGCTCTAGGCTGGCGCTAATAAATCAATTTTCAATTGATAATAAGTACAATATTATCAAAATCAAAGCAGTACGTCTCGGCGGGTAAGAGCCACCAAGTTACTACTAATTATTACTGTAGTCCGCAGTCTAAAACGATGTAAGACATGGTAAAGTACCAACAAGTTCCCTTGCTTGATATCACACAGTGAGTACGTCTCATTTGAATTAGGCTCCACACTCGAAACGAAGTTTGAGAGAACATTTGAAATTGCTTCTATATGTCTCAATGACTGATGTCTACCAAGATATGTGTAAGAATGCCTCGCACCACATTGAGAGCGGGTGGAGTGCTTTAACCTTCCGAAACCTAATGCAGGTTTTCGGGATACATGTCTGCTGCTGGCTTTTGCCCAGAGTGGTCTAAGAAAATAGATTTTAATTGTTCGTGTCCTTGATATTACAGTTAGCCTGATGGAGCCCGGATCCACGCATACTCAAGCTCCTGTAGGGGCGCGGAGGGTGCCAATTGGCCAGCACTTTAATCGATAAACAAGCAAATAGCTCCTATCACAATGTTGAATCAATGATAAAGATGTAATGATTAAAAAAAAGACAAAGATGTACCTTTGCAGCCCCAACCTGATTTTTCGGGGAATACGCAGACGATATTATAGGAACTTGAGGTCGAAAAGGTGGGCGTAATCGCCACAAAGACCTCGATCAAATGACGAGCTGAAATGACTATGAAGACAGCTTCCACCTGTACAAGTCTACCATGATTTGATAGCAGATAGATACGATATGGCAGTCTTATGATGCATGATGAACAAATCGCCTGGATATTAGAGTTGAACAAGGCACTAGTCATGCTTGGTTTAGTGCTGGATGACGGACTACCTGTAGGATCCTCTCGCATATATTACCTCAATCATAATTGGAATGAACTTCAACCTGAAACTAATCAGGAAAGAGCTTTTGACTAGTCATAAATTAGTCACAGAAGGAAAGGTGGCCAGAGCTGACGTGGAAAACTCTTCCTGTGTTTAGTTCCTTTAGATAGCAGTCCTAGGAGAGAGATAGTTGGTATATATAAACTTTATGTAATTTATTTGTTAGATTAGATTTTATTACAGTCCTGTCTGCGTCTATGACTATGGAGGACTTCTAGGATCTACCTGAAAGAAACTAGCTAATTTTGAGTTATTTAAACATGACAAATTGAATTATTTTCTTGTAGACAGTGGGGAATTTATTTATTAATTCGCCCCAGAGAAATCCTACAGTAGCCGTCGCTCTAATATTGAGAAACAACGTTAAAAATGAAGACTCCGTAGATAGAAAACGACGAAGTTGAATGAGAAAATTGTAGAAAAGGAATAATATGACGGCGTGATCTGGCAGTCAAGGTTGGACGAGAGGAAACAAAGCTTTCAATGGAACAAGTTCTTAGAGTAGACTGGAGAAAAAGCCAGTAAGGGGTCGAGTCAGGGCGGGAAATTTCCTTTATTTTTACTGTCAGTCATATAACGCTCAAGGCAAGTGAAGCCAGCTGTTGTGGTAGTGGCGGGTCCTTCTGGATCACACAATGGTATCAAGCCTTCTCGGTTTAGGGCTATGGCCTAATAGCTAATACTACTAGTTTAATTCAAGCCTTTGAGCCGCTGTTTCTTCACTTACAAGTCTTATCTGACTATTTGGTCACTCCTGTCGCTGGGGATTTTACTCCAAAATCAAAACGTGCACCCCTCGGTACATGCATCTCATATTCTCCTCTTAATACCCTCGCCCTCCACCAAAACTCATCCATCAGAGCGTGCCGCATCAAGTGGTGATATGGCTTTGAAAATTGGTCACGAGTCTTAGCTTTTCGAGAAAATCCCACGGCGAATATTTGGGGAATCTAAGGTTTGTAAATTCATAAAATTCAATCTACAGCCCGAGTTTTGTCGCCAAGTCGCATTGCGGTGGTGAAAGTACGCGATTATCATAGCCATATATCAAAATGCAATGTGATCTAAAAAACTAGCCGAGTAATCCATCAGCCATAGTCTTTTGTAGAAACCGTTCCGGCCGAAAATCCAAGGAAATCATTTGATCTCATGCTTATTCGCGACTGAATCCGGACTCTTTGTGAATACTTCACTGCCAAGCTCGTGTAGGTCACTTCTTGCTGGTTAGCCTTCGTCCTCCAAAACAATAGCTATGTCGGTCTCCCAGTCCACTTTCATCCTCATCTTGAGTACAAGCGCCTTTACGATTTGTTCTCTATACCGCTAGAGTCTCCAAAGGTCGGTCTCAGATTTGAGACTACTGGTCACTCAATATGTTTTTGATCTAAATTCAAGTCTCTGCTAAGTTCTAGACTATGATAGAATACTCAAGGATACATCTAATAAGTTTCTAAATGTATACTTTAGATCATCAAAATTTATATCATATTTGTATGCCTGTTACGGCGCGATCCAAAAGGGGGGAGGGCAAGACTGAACACCTGTACGCGGTGTCCTCTACGAACCTGGGAGTGAAATATTCTCCCAGAGCCAAGTTCAGTCAAATTTCGCAATATCAAAGAATTTGGCCCACTAGGCAAAAATTCGTATTACTCCTCCACGTCGTTTTCTCGCACCCAACGAGTTTGACTTCTACCTAAGTCTCATCAATTCTGCAAGTACGACCTAGTACACCCTTATCCCCATGACCACAACTCTCGTCGACTTTCTCTGACCTCAGCTGGTCACCAAATACACGCCCACGCCGATATTTACACCCGGCGGAGGAAGCAAAGCGTGGTGCACAAATCTGGGAGACAGTTCTCTAGGATGGATGTGAGAGAGATCAGGACAAGTCTACGAGATGATGCAAAGGAAGGATACAATCTCGAAGGACGTGAAATTCTGAATTTTGGCAAGGAGTTTTTCGAATTGGGCTTTGTGTGCGCCAAGACTTCGCTTGCAAGAGTACAGCTGACACCATGAAAACAAGCCAACGATGGAAGGTGTTGTGGTCCGCCTCCTGATGGTGTTCTCTGGTATGGTTTGAGTAGCCTGGGCACCTACTCCACTTGGGAAAGAGACACCTCAGATCACATATCGCGCGGGGAAAAGTTGATGGATGATGGAGGCATGTCTGGATAACTCAGGATTTTTAAGATGTTCCCCTTGGTGGGTATTCACGGATGAGGGTTGACTAGGGGTGAAGAAAAAGCCGCCATAACTTCGCAGTGGTACTTGCAAATGAAATCTGAGGCATGAGTGCTCTTCCCTTAGGTTGAATCATCCATTCTGTACTTTTCTTTGATATTGTGTCATAGCTAGATAGCTGCATACGCAATTTAAATCTGATGCAAAAAGAAAAAAAAGATCCAAAAGGGGTAGGATCTATCGTCTTCGAGGTGTAAAAGATGATCATCGAGATTCACAATGGAGGTTTGGAATAAAGAATTCATGGATTAAGAAGAGATAATTGTGGTAGCAAGATACGAAAGATGATTATGACCAAAAGAAAAGAAAAATACCATTTGCGAAGATGAAGGTCTGGGTAAGCCATTTCTTCCGCTTCCTATCAGAATAATCCATCAATACAACCTCTGGCTTGTCCTTGAACCATCTATTGCATGAGGGTATCTGAACTAAATTCTTAATCCCCTCAGATATTTAATCTGGGAAATAATATGTGGATTTATCCTGAATCTTAAATTCTAATCATCCCCTAAAGCCTATATTGATTTGATTTAATTGCATTGTCCTGATTTGGCGCCCTATGGGCGCATGCAGGTGTCTATCACACTTTCCAGTTTACATGGGAAGAAACTTTTTGGTGAAAACCCCCCAAGTCTTCCTGTTTATAGTCTACATCTTTCTAATGCATCCTCCAGGAAGCGCAGTTACACTATATTGCCCTCCATATTAACCTATCGAATCATCTTTATCGGCCTGAAGAATGGCTTGACCTGTTCCTATCCCTCAACAGCATTTCGACCGCCTTTGTCATCTGTAATTGTTCTATCCAACCATGATTTAGGATCCACTATATTATCCTTTTAATGTCTCCAGGATTGTTTATCATTGCTCTGTAAGATCGATCTTTGGCTTTTCTCCAAATCTCTCTTCCATTTGACCATCGAGGGCAGGACATAATCATGTGCTTGAGGTTCTGCGATTGGTAGCCACATGGACAGCTTGGACTTTAGACTCCGGGTACTTTTCTTCTATATAGATACAAATTGAACCCTATCTGCTCACTACGTATTTGCATCGCTAGACTGCTTTGGGCTCTTGTCAGGTTTCGGTGGAGTAGGAATGGCGATTCCTGAAGACTTATTTTCCATCGATTCGACTTTTGGTTCTGATAGAATTTGGCTCCTCTCCAGGTGTCGGGGCCGGCGATAGCTAATTGTCGAAGTAGTTGGAGCTGCCTTTGACTTTGCCAGGACTTAGTCCATTCTTGATATGCTGCGACTTTTCCTGCATATTTCTACCGTTTTTTTGAATAGTCTTCTCCACAGATTTCCACAAAGTTTGCCAAATCTAATGTCATATTATTGGCGCGAATGTCTTGTCCTCCTCTTTTGGGTAGATTGATATTACTACAAGCAGATTGTATGAGCTTTTGAACTGGTAGGGTTTTTGCGCGGCCAATTTGTTGGAGCCTTTGCTGCTTCAGGTAGATTTCAATTGGTAGGGTGGTAGTTTCGCGTTCGAGTACTCTCATGCTCGTTGGAAAGTCTGTATTACTAATATATGCAAAGATACTTACATTAAGCACAAGATTGCCATTTCCGAATGCCGGTTTTGGAAATGACCTTGTTATTTATTTCCTTGGTTAATATTGGCTGACTGGAGGGTGACTAATCTCAACACCTGTCAGTGGTATCCCCTACGAACCTCCAGCTCTCACTGCAGAGTCTGCAGAGCCGAAATTGAGTAACAAAGTCCTCACTTCGACGAGGATTCCTAATAGCTCTCACCGTCTGTATCGTCTTCATCTCTCAACACATTCCCCTATCACCATTATCATGAAGCTAACCGCGATCAGATCAGACGGTAGGGTCGGAGCCCTACTCATCACCCAACCCTTGATCATGGAGGAAAAGCCATCCGATGGGTTTCCGAAGCCTACCCAGTACCCGATACGGAGATGGTGGATTGGATCAAGTCGACCTCTAATATTACAAAGAAGGGAGATATAGATGAATATGCGCACCTCAGATAGTCCTGGTGTCTAGGCCTCGCCTGGCTTGGGCTGCAGGTTTTTTCGGACTTTTTCTCGCGCACGCAGTTTCCATTGCTACCATTTCTATTCTTTTTAGGGTAGAGGATTCTGTGGAAAAGGTGGCCGAATTCCACGGGTAAAAACTGAGCTGAATAGCTATTCATCACTGGCAATATATCAACGATCTTTGAAGAAACATGAGAGGCAAGGAATACTGTAAAAAGTGTGACCTGGGTTAGAAAGGAGCCCAATGTGCTGGATAGTCATAGACTCAAGTAGTACAATGAAGAATACATCTGACCCTCCCGGCCAAGTTAAGTAAATCATCACAATCCCCGAAAATTCTTGTGTTAACCCCTAAAATTTTCAAGACCTTGTTTCCACAAGATTACTTGACCTCTCGGCTTGTAGACAAGGGTGAAAGAAATTCAGTCAATCCTCTATGAAATAGGATATATTATGAATATCTTAGATAAGTTTCAGTCGACCAATTACATCCAAGTTTTCCATACTCGATAAATATTTCCAAACATAGAGATGTGGATTTGTACATTAATACTGTAATCATGTTTAGAAAAGTGAGGAAAGCTCATGTAGCAATTTTCCCCTTAACTTGTGTGGAAAATATTGAAATAAACGTCAAAGCGGAGTTTACAATCGCAACCGAGAATAAATTTGTTCCTTGTGTTTAAGGAGTTATTTGATGTGAAGAAGTCGCTTAACATGTGTTATGATTACACAGTCTAGTTTGAGAAAGGTAATTTAAACCCATTAATGTCAACCGTATTAGAAAAGCGTATCTTAAATTAACTATTGGCTTCTAACTGATTCGCATTTTGAAATTGCCCCATCTTGCATGTTTCGCATCTCAGCACGTAAAAATCAGATGTTTGCTTTCCGACATAAGGATTCATCCCAATTTGTTAAGAGTTGTACGTTGCTACGGAGGCTGAGCGTGAAATCATGAATCCTGTTTTGATGTCCTATTAAGCAGGTGCACGTAATGTTATCTACAGAGCATTCCTGTTTTAGATCATAACCATAGTGAAATTGATAATCTCCGACTACATTTCTAATCCGAGAAAGAGCCATTTATCGCTTGTTATACTGAGGCGATTAAGCCAAGGGCTTAACGTTGTGGGCTCAAATCCAACCCAGCGGAGATTTTTCATGAGCGAGTTGCGACTTAAATTATCAATCGACCTGCCAAGACAAATAACAACTCTTGATACAGCAAATACCTCTTCTGCGAGGCCAAAGAGGACCAAAAGTCTGAAAGCGTTAGCTGTAATCCTTCGTTAAGAAATTGATACGGTACCCTTGTTTTAGATCCTTTTGAAGAATAGAAGAGTCAAAGAAAATGAACAAATCTTTCTTATTTCCTTCCTGGACAACAAAGCCTCTAAAGTTACATCCCCCAACGTAATCCCAAACTTCTATGAAAGCGTCAATCGATTCTGTTCTATTCGTACTAGAACTGTTACATGTTCCCTTGTCAGAATCATGTTCGCCCACACCCATCACGTAAGAGCCAACGTAGAGTATCGTTCCTTCTTCACCAAGGAAAGCTACCCTCATTGTCTCGCAAAAGAGTCTCTCACACTCTTCCCGGATGTTGTAGGCAGGCCCCTCTCTAATTGTCTTTCCTCGTTTAATAATTGATGTATCATTCCAGGATTTGGAATGCGACATGAGTCGATTACTAGAGGCTTGGGCAGCGAGAGAGGGGCTATGTGGCGGGGACTGAAGCCCCATATTAAGCCCCTCGACTTCAGGGATACCACTCGGCCCCTATTTGGATGTTAGCTTACACCTGCAAGTTAGATAGAGTTCATTACCGCCGGCCCCGGTAGTAGAGTAGTGAAATCCAGTAAGGCGGCCCGAATTATCAACACAGTAAGCTGAAGCGAGCACGCTGGTAAAATTATTTAGAGTCCTCATTTTATTGTGGGTTTTTGAGGGAGCCATTGTGATCACAGAAGTTGACAAGATGTGCTTCTTTGTTTAATTGAAAAGTTGTCGGTTTAATTCAAGTTTGTGAGCAAGATTGCAGCTTTGGATAGATGATAAGGAGATGGACTGATAATGGAGGTGGACAATAGGCGAGCAAAGAAGGATTAATACTCATCTGATGACAATCACGTGTCTATGCATTGGCTTGACAGGCCCCATGAACTTCATATTGGGGCGGAACGTTCGATGAGACATTAGCGGGGTGCTGCCCCAATCGAATCAAGTGAAAACGTTATTGTCTCTAAATTGAACCTTTCCGCGCCAAGTTTCATAACCCCGCTGCCGCAAGTTCCAAATCAAGAATGACGCCTTACATGCCCTGCTGACTTTGAAATATTTGATTCTAAGATTATGTTACTAATCACCTGTGCAAGTGCAACTCTAGGCTTCAAAGCGGAGAATTGGATGACTCTAAAACCAAGCACATATGTCAAGCATCCCATTTCCTCGGCGAGGTCGTCATTCTGTCGGTCAAGGGAATTTACCTAGCAGAACCTACTTGCGATTGGCGTAGATGCAGCCATCACTACCGATGGAAGCTTCATCTCCTCCGTTGGCCTATCAGGCGGCTCGACGGTATCGTACCTTGGGGGGCTTATTCCGAAATGGCAAAAATGGGATTGCTTGGACGCCCCTGATGATCCCCCCTGAAGGGAAGTAGTAATGAATCTGTGTTGGCAAGAGCCACGAGGGCTATTTTCACTTGGTCGCTTGGATTATATTTTTTGAGCCGCCGAAACTCCAGTAGCTCATACCACCAAATGATCGCTTATTGATGCGAAGAAGATGAGTCTTAGATTCACAAAGGGAGAGTGTCCAGTAGGACTGTCAAGCACCTCAATGAAAAAAGGCTTGTTTAATCGGACAACTAGACCAACCTTGACACGGAGAGGTTATTAGCGCCCGCGTTTTTCGTGAGATAACCTTAAGTCGCTCAATAAATTATTTAAATCCCATTGAAACTCCACCAACTACGATGACATCTAACACTGAATCAAGAATATTTACTATTTTCAGCTGACAGCCTTTTCAGGAAAAGGCGTGGGATATATTTTGTCCTTCCTAAACCTGTAGGGGTAATCAATTATATCACAAGGGCTTGGTGTCGAGGTTGGCTGGGCGGTACAGAACTAATCCTACCCGAGTCTTAGAGTCCAACTCAATGCAGGGATCCATCTTTTTTTATTCTAGTCCAAGAGCACGAGTGGTGACGAGCAACCTGATCTGAGCTCGCATTGACTATATCCCTCGAGGCTTGTCTGTAGTGACTCGTTTGCCAGTAATAATTGCTCAGTATATTATCTCTTCCTTATCTAAATAATTCTAATGATGATAATTTATGCAGGTTATACCTACCATTTTTGCTAAGAGACGCTCACCCTTTATATTTCACCAGAAATTGCCACCGTAAAGCGGTTCAACTTACATAAAAATTAACACATTTGTGCTATTTTCTGCCTACTTTATAGATTCATACACGCTAGCCATCTAAGAATACTGTCATCATGTATATTGATACCGAATAGGATATGGTTGGGTTTCATTGGGATCGAACCACCGATTATGTGCATGTGATTTTGAGCTGTTTTGTCAGTCTCACGCTTTACTCGATGTCTACTATGGATACATATCCGATGAAGACAGCAGGGGTTACTGCGCGGAAGCCCAACTCACTGGCATAGCTTGAATTGCCACCAAATTAGACAGCAACGCTAAATCTGGAAACTATGAAAAAAAATACACAGCCAAAACATATTATTCTCCAATGTCGGGCTTCAGTGAAAGTACTCCTCGAATAAACATACTTTGGTCAAATCTTACATGTTACTTACTGCCCCAACTATCGCTGAGATATAGTAACGAATTCGCAATTGTCCTCCTTGAACGGCTATTTCGAAGAAACGGATGTCAGCATCTTGAATTTCTCCCCACTTCTTGTACGCTAGACTTGAGAAGTCTTCTGAATCCCGAGCCTTCCGTAATGGTGCACTCCTTTATTTGGGCGTTCGTGGTGGCCTGTAATCATTTGACGGCATCCATTACTTTTGCATTCTAGATCGCGTAATTGGTACTGTTTGCTCTTTGGTTATCTAATCGATCTAATTTGGTGGAGAAAGATAGGTTTGACACTTAATATGTGCCTTAAATTCGAAATAGTGTATGATGCAGTAGTAGATCTCGCAACTACACAAGAATAGCTGTAGGTTTTGTTTATCAATGGACAGCTTCTACATTTCTAAAAATCTCGGGGGATTTGAAAATTGACCGCTAGTTCTAACTCGTCAAGCTTTCGAAAGAATTGTTTGGGCAACAACTCTTAGTGGAAACAAACATCCACAATTTGTGTGATTCCAAAACGAATTAGTTTTAGAGAGGGAGATAAGAAGTAGGGGATATTGGTAACTCGAGATATTCCATCGGTCAACTTACCTTCCGTGTCATTGAAGCTATAGTAAGATTTTCCGAGATTCGCTGGTACCGTTTGGATTAAGAGCCCGACAAAATTCGAAGCCTTTTCATACCGTATTCTAGGTGTTAGAAATACGCCGTGTAATTCCAATATATCTCTTGTATTTATTTTACCATTCATCTTGGCTGCTACGCCCCAATAAATGCGGCAGGTTTGTTCTAACTTCTATACTGAGACAAAGTATGAAGTACCTTTGGATGTGATAGTTTTTAGCTAGATAAGATAATGGCTACCCGGCGCAGGATTCGCAGTATTTTTTTAGATCGCTCGGCTGTTTTGGCTGGATTCGATGGTGTATAGCAAGCGGTAATCATCGATTATGTCGGTATGAGCCCGACAGAGTGGTTACGGAGAAGAGATATCTAGATGCAACTAGTGGTGGCGGTGTAGATCACAATATGTGTTTCTGATTGGGTAGCATGTTGTTCAATTGTCTCAAGAGTTGTGCAAAGCCCGGGCGGGTGATATGATTTTTTGACAGCTCGAAAAAGCGAATCCCAAACTAAGGCCGCTTCCAAAGCAATTTCTAAAATGCTTCTAAAACCATCAGAGTGGCCTTGGATGTGAGTTCTATCCCGTAGTCACTGGAGGTAGATTGAAGCGATTTCCGAAGATTTCAAATTTCCCAATCATGTCAGTGTCAGACATATCTTAATGAAAGATCGTTTTCTTCGGATTGAGCTCGACAGCGGCCTGCTTCGCGCATTTAGGGGTCTAGGTGAGGCCCAATTTTAGAAGAAGAGGCCTTGTACATTCCGACTATTTGTCCCACTTAAGATTTGGACCCTCGTTGTGCATGAGTCAATATTCAACCTGCAGTCCGCTTACTTCCGGGAAAGTAATGCGATACGATAGTGATATAGCGAGAAGAATAAAAAAGGGGAGGTAGTAATTCGAAAATTTTAAAGATTGTGTACATGACTGAGTTGAAATATCGCCTGGATCAAGTGGAAGAGGCGGTCAATAGATCTAGTGTCCGCTAAGAGGAAGGAGCCGGATGGTAAACCAACACTGTGTACGGTGAGGTCTCTTGTGTCATATCGAATGTTCCGATAATAGTCCTCCATCATCAGCAAATTTGAGCGGCCATTCAAGCTGTCTAACTTTCTCACTTTACCTTACTCATACCGGCCTGAGAATTCTCTTTATACATGCATCCTCAGTGTCATGTCGTCAATGGAGAGCAGTATTCGCAAGAACGCATCACAAGAATTACAGACTCTGATGGCTCATTAGCTCATCGCTAAATATCATCACTTACTGCCGCTGTTGAAATATCAGTCATAAACACGCACTTGGATCATCACTACTTTGTGTGCGCTCTGAGCAGGCTCATTAAATCACACATGTCTACTTTTTTTACGTGCGCTTCACATTATAGACTTCAGGGTGTATAATTTTAAGGAAATTAATTTGGATCACAGTATTTCTTAGTCTATAAGTTTTAACCAATGAAGATCGATAGGCCAAGAAGAAATGATGGGATGCATTTAGAACAGTTGTGATGTACATTGGTTGGTGGTGGAATATCTTATGCCAGACAATCCAATCGCCTTCAAATATGCTACTACTTCTTTGCTGTTCAATAGTGATAGATATTGCGGCTATTTGTAGGAGTGTCCACAATACGCTTGATACCTCGGTACAATGGAATATAGAGAGTTTTCAAGTGTATGCTATCACGTAGCTTCTTGAATATACAGCGCTCGGAGCATTCCTGGATTAACTTTTGATAGCACAGTAAGATCACCATATATGCAAGGCACAAAGGCTTTTTGGGAGATGGAGATAATTCGACGTCTTCCTCACATAAAATTGGGGCAAGAAAGGCCTTCACTGATCATCATGAACGCCAGTGAATGACTCACATTTGAGAGAAAGAGAGAGAGGTGTTTTTTGTACTGCTTGAGTCTATGACTATCCAGCACATTGGGCTCCTTTCTAACCCAGGTCACACTTTTTACAGTATTCCTTGCCTCTCATGTTTCTTCAAAGATCGTTGATATATTGCCAGTGATGAATAGCTATTCAGCTCAGTTTTTACCCGTGGAATTCGGCCACCTTTTCCACAGAATCCTCTACCCTAAAAAGAATAGAAATGGTAGCAATGGAAACTGCGTGCGCGAGAAAAAGTCCGAAAAAACCTGCAGCCCAAGCCAGGCGAGGCCTAGACACCAGGACTATCTGAGGTGCGCATATTCATCTATATCTCCCTTCTTTGTAATATTAGAGGTCGACTTGATCCAATCCACCATCTCCGTATCGGGTACTGGGTAGGCTTCGGAAACCCATCGGATGGCTTTTCCTCCATGATCAAGGGTTGGGTGATGAGTAGGGCTCCGACCCTACCGTCTGATCTGATCGCGGTTAGCTTCATGATAATGGTGATAGGGGAATGTGTTGAGAGATGAAGACGATACAGACGGTGAGAGCTATTAGGAATCCTCGTCGAAGTGAGGACTTTGTTACTCAATTTCGGCTCTGCAGACTCTGCAGTGAGAGCTGGAGGTTCGTAGGGGATACCACTGACAGGTGTTGAGATTAGTCCCCCACACACATTTGAGTTCGAAGAGCACAGTGCGGATTACGTCAATGATCCGTTTAGTATTTCATGTTCGTCTTGATGCAAGGCGATATCGTGCACATTGATCGTAGCAGCGAATGAAGCGGGGGAGTTACCCAGGGCCCATGAAACGGTTATCTACCAGAACTTAATTCATGCTGGGCCATGTTGTGGAACCTAATTGAAGGAAACCCGACCGCGCACATTATGCGCTGTTGATTGGCTCACGTGGTGCGGGGGAATATTGAAGTAAATTGGCGATCCTGTATTATAGAAATCAATTCACGTATTATTAGTCTCAAGCTCTACTCACATTATATTGTTGATTAGTCGGAGCCACTAGACACCTGCGTGAAATCATTGTGATCATAAACTGATCAACAAGAAGTCACAACGTGGGTACTGATAAGTAATTGAGACTGTTATCGCTCGGGACTCACGATTGCAGATTCACGGGGTGATCAATATCGAAGTCTAAAATAAGCAGAAGGTTGTCTAGCCGTGACACTTCTATCGACTGCTATGCCCTATACACATCCTGTGCTATTGCCCTGAACGGCGATCCGGTCTTCTCTAACTAGTGGTAAGACGACGCTAGCACCTCGTCTCCAGCTCCCGATTATCTGCGCTTCAGGTTCCTCAGCGCCACGGCCTCGGTCCCTTATTAGTAGTAGGAGTGGCTGTGCAATTATGACTACACAGCCACTTCTTTTCCACGTTGCGTCTCTATCGCCCATGCATCGCTGAGAGTCGTGAAGGGATAACCAAACTACCTTGCTTCAGGTGCCCTCTAGCCGTAGGTAAAATGTGATCAATGAATATGCCTAGAGTTCATGTATTGTATTGCCTTCTATTGAGACTAAATTCGAGCCCCTACTGCTGAATTAATGTGGGACGTTTGCCCCTGGAGTAGTCAGAAGAGGAGGTCGGAAATCCGGAGTCCCAAACTTAAGAGTGACACCCGGTCTGAAAGCGCCAGAGCAGATCTCATGAAGACAAGGGCTCAGGTGAGCTCGTCATGGAGATCTCAATCGGGACCGAGCTCTAAGTCTCATAGTCCGGGAAAGCCCAATGGCCGTGGAAGAACGCAATTCCCTCCCGGCATTCAAAACAAGCCTTGGTATTTTCGTAGTTAGTTGGTTATTTGTTAATTTTCAAATAATTCCATGTACATCCAGCTTTCTCGCCGACCAAAATAGTTACTGCCTTGCGCACACTTTATCCAACTGATGAAAGAGACTATTCTCAACACTTATCAGTGTTGTCATCTACAAACTATTGTACCTCATAGTCATAGACTCAGTAGGGACATAAATAAAATTCTATTCTATTCTATCCTCTGAACCACCAGCTCTCACTGAAATGTCCGCAGAGCCGAGTTTGAGCAACAGCTTTTCATCTTTGAGCCGAGTTATCTCTCCCTCCGTCAAAGATACGTCTCCGACAACACATAATATGATCAACGGGACGTTAATGATGACGGGAGCGAGGAGAATTATTGCTGTTCCAAATGGTATAACGGTAGTCAGAGAAGCCTTCGTTATATTACAACATGTGTTACCCACCAGTGGGCAAACAAAAAGCCCACGAAAGCAAAGTCTTTTCTTAACTCGTCAACAATTACGTCCCTTCTAACCCTTTAATCCGAATATACTGGCTAGGAGGGCATCTGAAATACATGAACAACTCGACGACCCCACGTTCGTAACGACTTTTGGATGCTAGGCTAGGCTCCTTCACGATAGTCACTTTCGACCAAGACTTTTCTGGCATCATCTCACTCCTCTCCTGATTCTTGCCGCAGGATAAACCGAAGGTCTTAATGAGTAGGATATGAATGTTGAGGGACGCTCTTAGGTATGCAGAGGTCTGCAGCGCCTGAATGACCGGCCTCTTCGTCTTAGGAGAGCTTTGGACCCAATAGCTTTTGAGACTTTGCCCTGCAGCTTCACATCCGCGAATGGCTATGTTTCGTTGGATAGAGAGAGGAGATAATGATGAGATAATGTTTCCTCTTCGTGTATACTCGAATGAAGATCTGTTGGGGTGTTACTGTTGGAAAGAAGTCGTGAAGGAGGCATAGGTGGGTGCACACTACCCGAGGTATAAATACTCCCGGCTAGTGGGCAGAGAGGACCTACATGTCCTTACAAATTCACAGAATCATTAGAACAATAAACACTTTACATTACCCGCAAATACTTGTTAGCGCGAAAGGTTATTGTTGTCGCCCAAAATTTGGCATCATCTAATCTATCGGCCTTTAATAATATAGGTCCAAACTTTATGTTTACTTTAATCTAGCTTCCATGGTTTGCGAAACGAATGAGAGTCTTAAGCATAAATTTCGCGACGCAGCATTTTTACAATCAGAATTCTTATCTAGGACTTATTCAGTTTTTAATCTCAAAAGCGGATTTTACTCCAGTGTTCAGAGATATGAAGTTGGAGGGATGATATGATGGAGTTCTATCAAGTATTTATTGTAAAAAGTTTATCTTTAGCCAGTGTTTCACCATGATAAAATTACACTACTGAAAAGTGTTCCCATTTCATTCATGCTTGGAGTTATCACAGCTTTCCTTAGGCAGTAATGCTAGTTTTTCTCGGAAAAGCTTCTCAGCCTTGGACCAGACGGGTGTATTTCTCCAATCGTTAAGCTGCAATAGGTACGGCAGGAGATCTCCACTAAAAGCCTCGCTAGCTTCACGCGGAAGAAGACTTGGCAAATGATCAATACTAATAACACTCAAAGGTGGCCCCAATGCCACGTTGACAGAAACTGTAGGCTCGTCAAATGTCGTAGCCTTTGTGTAAATTGGTATGGGATTGTATGGGTTAGTGGTGTCGGCACTAACATCACAAATGACAGATAGATTGCGGTCAGAAACATTAAGGCTCTGCATATCGATGAAATTGGGGATCTTCTCTGTGAGATAAATGCAGTTGATAAAGATGTCCCTCTCCACGATTTCGGTGAACGGACCACCCTTTGCAGTGTGTTCCATATCCCAGCCCAAAATGTTGTCCGAAGGGATGCCGGCTTTTAAACAAAGCTCAATGGCTCCTTTGCCACAGCGGCCATATGCGCCGATCACCATTATCCGAGGGTAGCGTGCACACTTTTCCTTGCCCACGGTGATAGATTTCTTGACGTCTTCAACGAGTAGTCCTTCACTTGGATAGCTAGAGACGCTAGGAAGGGGATCTGATACCGGGTGGGTTAATTGCCACGCCCAGGTCTTCAGGGCTAAAGCTGCACCTGCGAATCCAGCGTGATATCCAAAGGCGGCGACTCGACGACCATTTTCGTCGGATAGGAACTCAAGGTCTAAAAGTGTGCCACCGCCATGCGCAAACCGAGCTAGTACCTTATCCCAGTCACGTTGCTCCTTGAAGCAATGGGCAAATTGAATATGTGTATGTTCGAGGGGAACTATGAATCTTCAGAAATATTCTTCGGACCAATTATTGGCAATGAGATATTTTCGGGTGCTTACATTGCTCTACGGGCAATTCTTTTAACCCGACCACGATGTGATCAGTCGGTATTCCACGCCAAGAATACTCATCAACCAAATTTGCGCCAGATTTTTCGAATTCTTCATCATTGAACACACGTTGGGGACTACGTTCAACATTGACAGTATATCCAGCGTTGATGAGTTCCTTAACTGTCTTGGGGGTAAGGGCGGATCGGTGTTCAAGAGATTTTCCCACTTTTGTTTGTACGTTAGTATGAATGAGTGTGTGGGGGATGACACTAGCCCTACACTCTGAGCGGAGATGAAGAATGGTTTTCGCCATCTTTGCTAATCTTCAACTTATGTTGTGTTCAAAGCTACTATGTCTATGAACTAAGCCAGTCCTTGTTCAAATAGCGTTCTGCTTAAAAATTTTATCAGATGGGTCAAGTTAGTCTAGATGGTAAATTTTATCGCCGTAACTGGGTCAAATTTTATTGTATTATGTAGTGAATGTAGTTCTCGATTTTTACATGTGCTTGTTAGCTTGTTGTCAGATAATTCCGATTAGTCAGCTAGTTGATTGATTGGGAGCTTATCACATCCTCGATACTGTATTTTAGTCTAATACGATTTGTATAACTTTATGTAACAGGCTAAAGCTCTGTACCCGGATGCTTGATACAGGTGCGTATTCCCGGGGGACCCGCGTCTACCATTGAAGCTAGCTTTACATAATCATAAATTTACATGAATAAAACCCAAAAATATCAACGACGACAAAGACCTAACACCTGTCAGTAGTGTTCTCTACGAGCCTAGGAGTGAGTTTTTCACCTAGAGCCAAAATCCAGCCAAAATCCAGCCATGAGCAAGGGTATGATGACTTTAATTTGATCGATTTTCGGCTTGGATGAATGGTAATCGGTAATTTTGCCGAAGAATCAGTCGACACAAATTTCTTAACCGCAAGAAATTCGGGCAAGGACTCATCACCATAAACTTATGATTCAGGAATGGACCTATGTCTGTCTGGGGTCGCATTCAAACATCCGAAATCTCTCAAGCTCTTTATACATTTGTGACGAAGCATCTCTCAGTCGAACTAGCACCTGTGACCCACCTACATACTCGTCACATCTTTTCCTTTTTTTTTTTTTTTGCATCAGATTTTAATTGCGTATGCAGCTATCTAGCTATGACACAATATCAAAGAAAAGTACAGAATGGATGATTCAACGTAAGGGAAGAGCACTCATGCCTCAGATTTCATTTCCAAGTATCACTACGAAGTTATGGTAGCTTTTTCTTCACCCCATGTCAACCCTCATCCGTCCACGTCCCAAGTGACGAAATCACATATCATACACGACCTGTTACTATCATAAATACCGTTCACTTACTCATACCGCCCCAATCCTCCGCAGAGGCTGGCTCTTGGCCCCCCCTTCCACCCGTTAATTCAACGCGTCATGACGTCGAAATGGTCCTTACAGGGCCACCCAACCATCCAAGTATTACACAAACAAACGCGGAGCCCATCTGCGAGGCGAGCTTCCAATGCTCGCCCCCAAACCAAACCGAGTCATTAGGTGTCACTATGACTAACTTCCTCGCAGATGAAGCGAGGGCTTTTAATTTACGCTTCGCAGAGGCTGAGCGTATCGTCAGTGGGTACATAAACCAACTGGCTCCTACAACCGACATACAGCTCAGACGCGCTGTCGAAAAGGATGGAGAGGCTTTACAGGCCATTATTACAAACATCCTGCGCGGAAACCCCCAGCCCCTATCCGGTGGGCCATCAGAGGCTGCCAGTAGCAGCAAGACGACAACCCTTCCGCCACCAGCTACAAAGCCAGGAGGAAAGAATAACGCGAGCATCCCACGACCTCTGCAAATCCTCGCTAGGGAAACCTGCAGCCAGTCGAAAGGCAAAGAGCCAGCTTCGACAAAACCTACCAGGCAAGTCGAAGGCGACAAGCCCAATAATACCAACACCACTGGGAGATCCTGGACTCAGGTAGTCAGGAAAAAGCCAAAGCCTGTACAACCAGTGGCATCAACGTCGACAACAGTCAATGGGTCCCAGTCAAAAGCAATTGAGCCTACACAAGCGCCTAAGCCAAATACCCCCGCTTCCAAACCGGCCCGCCCTGACGAACGTGTGTTCCTTCGGGCCAAGCCCGACCACCCGTGGAGACGCATGTCTCCTCACTACATAAAAATAAGCCTCGCAAGCAAACTTCGCTTGGCTAACTCTGCAATCAAGCAGGTCACTGTCGTCAACTCAGGGTTCGCGATACAAGCTGAAGGAGATGCAGCAAGAAACGCGCTCCTCTCGGGTGCCGTGCTCTGGGAGAGCACGGAAATGAAACTGGAAGCTGCTTCCAATTGGATCTCTGTGCTAGCTCCAAATGTACATGACAGGCTCTACACTCTAGAGGGACCAACGCCAGTCACACCGGAGATGGTGATGGAAGAAGCGATTTTAAAGACGGGCCTAAGATCGACCTCGGCTCGTGCGTTCGCGACAAGCATGGCAAGGCCATCAACTGACTGGGTGCTGCATTTTGCAACCGGTAAGCCAAAACTGGGTGAGCGACTTTTCGAAGAGAGTGGTCGCCTACACGAGCTCCAGCGCAAGGCCAAAATTGCGCAATGCAACCGATGCTGGGGACATCACCCTACAAAGATTTGCTCACGAGCGGAGCGATGCTCACGATTTGGATCGATCGAGCATAAAGCATCTATCTGTAAGCAGACCATCCTAAGGTGCATGAACTGCCATGGGCCACATGCAGCCATCGAACCTCACTCCATGGCTAGACCAACCCGGGTTGGCGGCAAAACTGCGCAGCGAACTAAAGACCAGATATCAGTTATACGTGAGCAAGGTCAGAAGGAACGGAACGCTTCAATCCGAGAGATGGAAGCAAAGCAGAAAGCCGCCGAGGCGACCGCCGACAACGTAACTACAAACGTTGCTCAATGCCCGTAAGGGACCACAACCTTATCGAGCTACACACAACGGCAACAACGATCTTGTTCCCCTGTGCTAATTTGGGCAGAGGAGACCCCGCTACGCACATCATCCTGCAATCCGCTTGGGATTCAGGAACCGATGTCCTACTTATCCAGGAACCCTGGACTCAACACAAGGACGGCTTCTGGCTCACCAAGTCGCATCCCGGATTCGATAGGCATTTGCCTCCCCATGCCGCTGCCAACTCTTCAAGGCCACGCTCCCTCATCTACACGCGAAAGGGGATCAACTGCCAACAGCAAGCAATCTGCGAGACATCACCAGATCTCACTGCAGTAAAGGTAGAAGGAGTCTTATTTGTCTCCGTATACCGCGCTCCTGGAGCAGACCTTTTGCCGCTGCTATCATGGGCTCCATCTGGGCCTACAGTTATTGGCGGAGATTTTAATGCCGCTCACAACGACTGGCAGCCAATGGCCACTAGGTTACACGGCGACGGCCAGGTGCTCACCGAGTAGATGTTCGAGCACGGTATGGACCTATCTTCCGCACCGGACGTCCCGACCCACGATCTCGGAAACACACTCGACCTAGTTTGGTCTAACGCTGGCGCACTTGCAGATGTTTCAGTAAAGCTTGACTCGACATCGGATCACAGAACTCTTGCAGGAGACGTTCCGAGTGACAGACGACAGCCTCGAAGACTTTGCCAAGGTGCTTGGTAGATGGGCTCGTGGAATAGAGATGCAGCCTATGGTCTCAAAAAGTGCGGTGGACAACCTTGCGGATAAACTGGTTCAAACCATTAGCGATGCAATCAGGGCTACTGGAAGACGCGGGAGTGCTAAGAAGGGTAGGACGGCACCTTGGTGGATGTTGGAGTGCTCACAGGCCAAACGCGAATATAGGATATTCAGAGACGAAGAGAGCAGAAAGGATTTCCGTCGCATAGTCAGAAGTGCCAAACGCCAATACTGGCGGCGGAAGTTCTCCGAAGCCACAACTGACGTTGACATGTATCGGATGGCACGCTGGGCAAAGCCGCGACTTAGATCCGCTGCTCCACCACTTCAAACTCCCACGGTTTTGTTTCGGACCCAGGAAAGCGAGCAACTCTGTTGCGCGACCTCCTTCTCGGCCGGTTCACCAGTCAGAACGACGTCGACGCTGAGGACTTCGAGCCAGGACGCGGAAACCTCCCATGGGTCTCGAGCGTTACGAACGAAGAAGCCAGGTGGGTCACAACAGCCTGCCAAAATAAAGCTCCCAGAGCAGACGCGATATCTGTGCGGCTTCTTAGGACAGCCTGGCCGTCAATTGGTCACGCAGTGAAAGTACTTTTTGAGTGCTCACTTCGACTGAACCACTTCACGAAGGCATTCAAGCTAGCGGAAGTAATTTTTCTCCCCAAACCTAGCCGTAATCTCAGTACAGCTAAAGGATAGAGGCCAATCGCACTGCTATCCTCTCTCGGCAAAGGTCTTGAGAGACTAGTCGCAAGGCGCATGGCTTACACCGCCATTTCGTACAAGGCCGTGCCGCAGCAGCTTTTTGGAGCCCTCTCCGGCAGATCCGCTAACGACCTCGTCTCATGCGTCATCCACGATGTGGAGTATGCAATGAAGAGGCAGAAGAAAGCAGTCCTTGTCACTCTGGACGTACAGGGGGCATTCGACGCTGTACTACACGGAAGGCTGCTGCAGAGGATGAACAAAGTTGGGTGGCCGAAATCAGCCATTACTTGGATAAAGTCTTTCCTGAAAGAACGATCTGCCCGCGTTAGACACGAGGACGGAGTAACAGACCCAATTCACCTAGAATGCGGGCTGCCACAAGGATCGCCTTTATCCCCAATTCTCTTCCTCCTCTACATGGCCGAAGTCGTGGGGGACAGTAGTTGGAGATTTGGCTATGCAGATGATGTTGCTATTCTCGGCATAGGTTCGACTCCAAACGAAGCCGCAGCAGCTGTCCAGCGAGAAGTCGATGCAGTCCTAGGGTGGGCTGCTGAAAATGCCGTCTCTTTCGACCCAGATAAGGCCGAAGTAGTCTACTTCGTCGGCCCTAGATCCAGGGGATACGACCTTCCAACGATAAGGGTAGGTCCTCGCGATGTTCAGGCATCCGACTACATCCGATGGCTCGGAGTTTACTTGGACCGTGGCCTGACCTTCGAAAGCCACGTCGCAAAGTGGACCAGCAAAGCAATGCGGCTAGTGCAACACTTCCCGCGACTCACTAAGTGCACTCAGGGACCAAGACCCGACTTGCTAACCACAGTGATCCGCACGGTAGTCCTGCCAATCGCGGTGCACGCAGCGGAATCGTGGTACCCGGGGTTAACCAGGGAAACATAT